CTGGCCCAGCACACAGTGGCTACTCCATGGAAGAGGTGGGTGTTGGCCATGGCAGGTACATCCCAGGATGTTTAAAGTCTGTCTGGCTGCTTGATTCCAGAAACTAGCAAAGCTCATGAGATCAGACCCAGCTCCGCCTTTCATATTATCCCAGAGGCTCTGAGTAGTCCCTGGTGCTCAGTGAGGCACACAGAGAGGTTCGGAAATATTTTTGAAAGAGAACCCACAGCGGAGGAGGAAAATACAACAGAATTTGGACAGTTTCAGTATAAAGCAATGAGAAACATCTGAATCAAATTGCTTTTAAAATTACACCATTTTAGAAGTTAAAGGAGGGGAAAACCTCTGGGCCAAAAAGTGTTTTAAAAGATTTATGGCCTCCAAAGTGTTAGCACAACAGCAAAAGAGGCTGGGGAAGAACTCGCCCTCCCAGGCTTCTGCTGTCTGCTCTTATGAACTGCTCCAGCCAGATGATTAAACTAACCTTTCCCCGGTCTGACCACAGGGCTGCTTTTTCCTTTGGTCCAGCTCGGTCCAGCCCAGCCGTGCTCTGCTCTGCAAATATGTTTCTCAAGCATTTTCTGGCACAGGGAAATAGTGGCTCTGAGTGGAAACACCCAGCCCCCAACAGGCCCAGCCTCATGGACTCCTAGGGGAAGTGAGGCAACAGAGGCCAGTCGAGGTAGGTGACTTTGCAAATAGGTCACAGCCCCAGACCTCAACAAACTGGCTGTTTGGAAGAGAGCAGGTGCCATCAGGGCCTAGGATGGATGAGGGAACTGAGACACAAAAACACACGAGGAGAGCTTACCAAGGCTGGACACTCACCCCAGGGTAGCAGTAGGACCTAAATTAAGGCCCAAGTCTAAGAGCAATCTAAACAACAATCTAAAAGCAAATACCTGAAAGAGACTCCCACCATGTGAGAGGCAGGAGCCCTAAGCCCCAGGCCCAGCTCGTGGTTGAAGCAGCTGGTAGCCTTGGGCAAGCCCCATGCCCAAATGGGCCTCAGTCTCATCTAAAGTACGGGAGGTACTGAAGGAGAAGCTCTGACCGCACCAGCCTGGCACCCAGGAGCTCCTGCCTGGGTTTTCCGAGCTTTGCTGCTGGGGCCTCCCACCTCCTTCATGTCCTCTCTCCTCACTGTGCACCTTCACTTTCTATCTCATTCCTAGCGGCGCTTGAGATCAGTCGCACCATCTTTTTATACCACTTAATATTAGAATATAAGCATGTTCCCACCCTGTAATTGAAAAGTCTTAATTAACATTTTCAGTGGCTGCATCGTGTTCCATTCAAGATGTTCCACAGATGAACCAATCCTCTATCAATGAACAGGTAGGCTGTCTTCAATTTTTCACAGATATAAATAACTCAGAAGTGAAATCCTGCGGTGGCTCATGCCTGTAATCCCAGTACTTTGGGAGGCCAGGGCAGGCCGATCACTTGAGGTCAGGAATTCAAGACCAGCCTGGCCAACATGGTGAAACCCCATTTCTACTAAAAATACAAAAATTAGCCAGGCATGGTGGTGCACACCTGTAATCCCAGCTACTCAGAAGGCAGGATAGTGGCTTGAACCCAGGAGGCAGAGGTTGCGTGAGCTGAGATCATGCCACTGCACTCCGGACTGGGCGACAGAGTGAGACTCCGTCTCAAAAAACAAGCAAACAAACAAAAAAGTGAAATCCTTCTGCCTGCAGGTATGTGTACTGTATGAACCAGCTGAAGCCATACAATTCTAGCCATGGAATGGAAGCTCTTGGAACTGGTGACAGTGAGGGGTGGGGGAGGCTGGATGAGGGGCCATGAGCTGCAGGGGAATGCAGGGTGCCCCAACATTTGGATACCTTACAGATGCCAGGAAACAGCCCCTGACAGCTTGCAGGATTTGGCTGTTTCCTCACCACTGTGCCCCTGACATCCTCAGACAGGACCCACCCACCCCACCCCTCCTCGGATGTGTAGTAAGTCAGGAAACACTAAGCTCATATAAATCATTCCTTTCTGCCACACAGCAAATCAGGGTGTGAACCATGGGGACAATGTCAGGGGATTTGGAGGAACAAGCCAGGCCTCACAGGAGCCGGTGTCTAAGTGGTCACCTGAGCAGCAACAGGGGAATTGACTCAGTCTGCTCCTGCCCCCAGCAAACAGGTCTCAGACAAGCTGCCCAGACCAAGATGATTCGTCTTTCCCAGAAATAACTCGAGAAGAGAGGCCCCTCAGCAAGAATTCTCAGCTCCCTGCACCCCTGCAGCCACCCAGTGTGTACCCTGCAGCACTGTCCCTCTTCCAGGCTTGGCACAGTCCCTCACAGCCCCTCCTCACCCACTGTCCACACCCAGCCCTGCGCCTGAAGGCTGAGTGCCCAACTCTTCAGTGGCTGCAGCAAATGCTTCTGGCCCATGACGACTTCCTCGGGCTTCACCAATGCCACCCTTTCTCCTACACCATTCTGGTCCCAGAAGACCCTTGGGTACCCCTCATGCCAGGCCCAGCACCAGACGCTGAGACCTAGAGATGAATGCAAGAGCATCCCTGCCCCTGAGGGACACCCCCGCCAACCACCTGCAGCCGCCAGGCACCTCTGTCCACACATTCTCCTCACCTGCCGACAGGTGTGTACTCCTGCAGGCAGTGAGGCCCACATCCGCGGCTCTTTGGAGTCTTCCGGGGGACTCAGGGTTGCTAAGTACATGAGGATTCTTGCCCACGCACCTCTGCCACCATCCAGCAACACTTAAGGAAGATCTGACGTTCCAAGATCATAAAGACTGTGGACAACACCTGTCAAATCCACTCTTGACACAGATTAGGAAAACCGGGACCCAGGCCAGCGCACCTCCCATCCCATCCACGAATGCAGCCGCCGCGTTTCACCAGCACCAGGAGACTCAGCCCACAATGTCCCTGCTTTGTGCCACGAAGGAACAGCTGCTCTCCCCTGACTCCAGGAGGACCCTTCCCAAAAAAGCTGCTCAGAGACCGGTGCAGGGAGCAGCGATGGGTAAGGAGGCTCTGGGGTCCTCACGACTCTCCAGCAGCAGACATCTGGCCCGAGACTGCCGACAGGCCACCTGCCCTGTGGCAACCATGGTCACGAAGGCTGGGTCCACCCTCTGCTGGAACCTCACCAGCCAAGTCACCCTGCAGTCAAACAACAAGAGACTGCGGGGTGGGCAGGAAAGGCATCGGGGGTGGGGTGCAGTGGGGTGGCGTTGGGAGGTGAAGGCCTTTGCGGAGGTGCTGTACTCCAAGCTTTGGGCCTCCTGCCTGGCCCCTACTCCCACCACAGATCAAGAATCCCTCAAGCATCTGTTGCTATTGCACCAATAATGACAACTCAGCCTGACACTAGAGGGGCTCCCCCGCAATTACATTCTAATTACTGTCTAATTACTGCCTAAGTCTGTCCTCTACTGCTGTGTGACACATCAGGAAATTGCACCACGGTGGTTCATGATCCACTCATGGCTTGAAGAGGCAGGGTGCAGGGCGGAGGGATGGGGGGATAGTTCCCACTGAAAACCCTGCGGCAGGCCAGACATACACGGAGGCCAGGCTTCCTGGAGCTCACAAGGCCTCAGAGCATGGACAGAGGGGCAGCTTGGGGCGTCCCCACAGGCAAGGGATGGCCCTGACCCAGGGGAAGGAAAAGACCATGTGGCCCCAGGACCAGGGCCCCTCCACCCGCTCTTCCCGCCCTGTGCGCTTGGCTCCTCCCACTCCACCTAAGAGCTCTTCCTCCACTCCTAGCCGGCCCCTCCACACAGAGGGAGGGCCTAGAGAGTCCCTGTCCAAGGGGCACAGGGTGGAGAGGGATCGTCCAGCTCAGAAGGCCATCTCCCCAAGGGGGCCTGAAGGTTGACCTCAGATCTCCCTTTCCTGACATGGGCCACACATCCCAGTAATGACCGCCCACTTAGAATCACAGGACAAATAAAAGCAAATATAGTAACAACCCCTCGCAGACCCTTAGGTCCACTCTTAGAAACACCAACTCCTAAACCGCTCCGAGGGTCTTTCCGTGTTCCTGATCCCCTTTTCCCATTCCATGTTCACAGGCTCCGCGTGGCCTGTGAACCAGCAGCCCCAGCATCGTCTTGGCACCCAACAGAAATGCAGAAACTCAGCCCCGCCCCAACTTACTGAATCGGGGTCTGCACCGAAACAAGCCCCCCACAACTGCGTACACATCAAAGTGTGAGAGGCGCTACCCAAGCGCCGGCCGGAAGAAAAGGCGCATTCTCTTCCCCGGCTGCTCTCTGAGCTGTGCCTGAGCCGTGAGAGCAACAGGGCCTGACTAAATGCACTGGAACAAAAAGGGAGGAACAGAAATCGAAGTCTCTCCATTCCTCCGAGACAGAAATAGTTCTGTGGCCTCCAGATGGACTGTGCAGACACAGGGGAGGTCTCGTCTTCCCGCCAAACTTTCCCAACGGGATGCTGGCACGGACGGCCCAGTGGAAACCCGAGAGTCTTTCTCTTTGGGGCAGTAAAAATGAGAGGCTGTGGCTCGTGTAGTCTCTTTTGTTATAATTAAGTTGGCCAAAAATTCACCTAAGATAGTAAATTCCGTACCTGACCCTCTAATTTGAGCCAGAAGGCATCAGGAGACAATTACTTTCCAAAACAGTCCTTGGCAGGCAAGAAGCAAGAAGTTCTCTGGGCACATCTCAAATGTGCCAGCTGCACGCACCCCAGGGCTGCCTGGCAGCGACCACGCCCCTCCTCCCTCTCTCCCCTCCCAGTACTCAGGCCCCACCCGCCGCTGTCTGAGGCAGCTCCGCCCCAGGACTTGGGGTGGCCAGACCTCCTCGCAAACTCACAGGCAACCTTCATGGTGCCTTGGATTCCCGGGACAGAGGCGCCCTCCTCTTCGCCTTCCATAAACCCAGCGTGCCTCCCTGATGACATAGGCCACCACTCTAATTAAATCCTAATGGGCTAATGAAAAACACCCCTGCTGCCCTCCAAGTGTGCAAAACAGAAAGTACCTCCTTGGGCAGCTACCGCTGCTGCTGCTGCTGCGGCCACCACCAAAGGAGAGGCCTTTTTGCCTGGGTCGGGGAAGCCAGCGGCCTCCAGGATCCCACTTTTGGCTTCTTGCTTCTCGGAGGCAGTGGCTGAGGCAGACGTCTCCATCTCAGCCGCTCATCGTCCTAGGTGGCAACTCTAAAAGAGAAGACAAAGACACTCACCAACACTGCGCCCAAACCCAGCCAGGAAACGCCGACCCAGATTCACACCGCCACTCGCTTCTAAAGCAACCAACTTCATTCTAATTCTCTTATAATTAGGAAGGAGGGTTTAATTAATTTTGAGAATTATTAGTCCTGGGATTCGCCTGGTCTTCTGAACGACCTCACGGACAACTGCAGGCCATTCTCATCATCTTCTACCCAGATTCTAAAAATCTAAGTAACAAGTTCCTACTGATATGAATGGCAGGTAACCTCTGATGGGGGAGTAAAGTCAGAAATAATGACCTCTGTCTGCAAATCATGGGGAAAATAAAAATAAATATGGTGACAATGACCTGGAGGTCCTCAAAGAAAGGCCCTCATTTTCAGGTTGCTTCCCTGCTCACCAGAACCTTTCACTTATTCATCTGCATGTTCGCTCATTCCTTCACCCATTCATTCAATAAATGTTCATCCTTTATTGACTCACATGCACTCAGTCAACATATTTTTAAGCCCCTAGTATGCATCAGGCATCACGCCTGGTGCTGAAGATACAATATGTGGAGTTTACATTCTCCTTGGGGGCAAACAAGGGGAAAATAAATGTAGATTTAATATCAGTGAGTGGGTGGTGGCTCAGGAAAAGAAAGCAGGACAGAGAGGGTTGCAGGGGCACAGTGGGGCAGCACTGCTGGGCCTCTCTGGGGTAGGGATGGGATGCCTGAGGGGCCACCCCACTGCAGCCAGAGGACAAAGCCAGGAGCCAGGGGCCATGTGGGAAGAGGCTGGCTTCTTTGAGTAGTGACCAGAAGGGAAGTGCAGGCGTCAGAGGGTCTTGAGCAGGGGAGGGGCAGGACTGACTCCCTGTGTAAAGGGATCACTTCACTGTTGTGCAGAGAACAGGCTTTTCGGGGGAGTGGGGGCTACTGCATTGACTCAGGGAGAGACAATGGCAGTTTGGGTTAAGCAGGTGGCGGTGGAGCTGGTGAAACATGGACATGCTTTGAAGGCAGAGCCAAAAGGCCGGGCTACAGACTGGATAAGGAGGGAAGGAAAGTGGCTGTGAGCAAGGGAGGAACACCCAGAGGGATTCGGGAAACAGGCAACTTCCGTCTCCAGCTGGGTTGTGGGTCAGAGCAGACACTGGCAATCCAGCCTTCATATCAGAAGAGAAATCTGAAGGTCACATGTTTGTTTTTTGTTTGTTTGTTTTTGAGACGGAGTTTCGCTCTTGTTGCCCAGGCTGGAGTGCAATGGCGCGATCTCGGCTCACCGCAACCTCTGCCTCCCAGGTTCAAGCGATTCTCCTGCAATCCCGAGTAGCTGGGATTACAGGCAGGCGCCACCACGCCCAGCTAATTTCATATTTTTTGTAGAGACAGGGTTTCCCCATGTTGGTCAGGCTGGTCTCAAACACCTGACCTCAGGTGATCTGCCTGCCTCGGCCTCCTAAAGTGCTGGGATTACAGGCATGAGCCACCGCACCTGGCCGGTCAGATGTTTTAAAGAAGGTGGTGAGGAAGACAGCTGGCATTTTTGGCTGGACACCTGGAGGAGTGGGGCAGAAAGGTTGCGGGCAGCTGTGTGAAGGTCCTGCAGAGAGTGTGGGGATGGGGGTCACATTGTGCAGACACCTGCGGTCAGCTCCACTGCCAGGGCCCTCAGCTAAATCCACATTAGTAGGCCCTAGAACTTTCCTGTCTTTATGTTTATTTTTATTTTTATTTTTTTTTAGACAGAGTCTCACTCTGTGACCCAGGCTGGGGTGCAGTGGTGTGATCTCAGCTCACTGCAACCTCCGTCACCCAGATTCAAACGATTCTCGTGTCTCAGCCGCCCGAGTAGCTGGGATTACAGGTGTATGCCATCACACTCAGCTAATTTTTGTATTTTTTAGTAGAGACAGGGTTTCACCATGTTGGCCAGGCTGGTCTTGAACTCCTGGCCTCAAGTGATCCACCTGCCTCGGCCTCCCAAAGTGCTGGGATTGCAGGCGTGAGCCAACGAGCCCAGCCAAGAATTTTTCTTTTTTGAGGCAGGGTCTCTCCCGTCGCCCAGGCTGGAGTGCAGTGGCACAAAGCTCACTGCAGCCTCAAACTCCCGGGCTCAAGCGATCCTCCGGCCTCAGCTGGGACTACAGGTGCACACTACCACACTCGGCCTAGAATTTTATTTTTTAAATCCACACAATACTCCCCATCTTTTTAAGTAGAAAAAAATGAGTACACAAGAACAATGGAGGAGCCACATGAAGGATGTCCACAGCTCCTGTCAGCTCCTGGCTCATCTGCACACACCAGTCTGGCCAGTTTCCACAATCTTTCAAAACTCCCTGCCCAGAAAGCCCAAGAAAGTCAAGAAGATGGGAGAGAGAAAAATCTCCTTGCTGGTGAGTCACGGGCCTCCTTGTGGCCTAGAAATTCAAGGATTGCTGCCTGCTCTTTTAAGCCTACTTTAAAATCCACCCCTTAAGATTCTGGCTATCTGAATGGCCACCAGCAGTATGCACTGGTTCGTGCCTGCTGTTCCTCTGCCCCTTACCTGGTCATAGGCACCACCACACCAGTCACCTGAGCTGCATCCTTGAACCACCTTCCTTCTCTCCCCCACCCACACACGAAGACTGTGAGCCCCATCACTTCCCCCCACAGCCCCCAGCACCTGCACGCCTCACCAGCACTGCCTCTCCCACTGGCTGCTCTGTGCCAGACACTCTTCCCCTCTGGGTCCTGGCACTTTTCACACCTCTGGTCCACTCCAGTTTATTCCCTGTGCTTCAGCCAGGGACCTTCCCAGAAACCACGTATCACTCCATCCCTCCCCTGCTGAGCCCCTTGGTCTTCAGGTAAAGTCTTCCCATGTCTACCTACAGCTTCCTCTCCCTACGAGCTCCCTGGCTGCGTGACCCTCCTAACAGGGATAACTGGCTCTGCCCTTGCACACAGCCAGGCCTCTGCCCAAGCTGTGCCACTCACTGGAAACCGTTCACCTTTCTGTGTTTGATGGACTCTTACTCTTCCTTCAAGGTGCCACTCGGACGTCACCTCCTCCAGGAAGCCCCCCTTCCCCTCCTAGCCCATGGTTGGAGCCCTGAAGCAGTCAGATCACGTCCCTACTCAACGTCCCCGGATTACATTCATCACCTTCAGGCCAGGAGCTGTTCAGCACAGCGTTGCCATAGCCAGGCCCAGCCCAAGCTGGTAACTAGAAGGCTCCATCCATGAAGAACAGACCCAAAACACAGCAGCTGCAGCTTCCTCATGGCAATTCCACCTATTCACTTCAGCACAGCGGATGTCATCACCAATTCTTATAGGGGAGGAAGCTGAGGCCCCCATGGGGAGTGAGCTGCCCAAGGCCACTCCCCAGGGAGGCACAGGGCCAGGCCTACAGTCAGATCCTCCAGCCCAAATGCCTCAGGGTGTGGTCGCTCCAGAAACTGGGTGAACGTAGTGAGGGAGGAGGGGTGTTTATTCAGATGCCCACCTCCCAGACTGTGGCTCGGGGAAAGGATGTGCACACAGATGCACCTGACGTTTCGTGAACGCCTGTGGGGAGCAGATGCAGCAGGGGGGTTCCAGGCAGTGCCCACTGCATCCGTGGCCTTGTCTTCCCACCCCTTCCCAGAGAAGAAGATAGTACACAGAGCCAAGAGGCTGTGTAAATCATAGGAATTAGCCGGATTAGCACAATTTCTAGGTAAACACCAGGCACCCAGGGTCCCAGGCAGCCACTTTCACTCCCCAAAGCTCATCTGAGGCAGACCCGTCAAGCCTTGCAGCCCCAGCGGACAGTCTCACCTAGGCCCCCAGGGGCTGCCTGGGGACAGCAGGGAGGGTCTCTCCAGGGATGGTTCCCACAGGCTCCACAGGGCTCCAGAAAAAGAGGGGCTGGGAGTCACAGCACTTACCACAGGGAGGAGAAGAGTCAATTCCTCACTTTACCTTCGAAACACACAGCTCTGCCGCTGTCCAAACAACCACAAAGGAAACACAGCCACACTCTCCAAAATTCTGCTAAGGGGGTGGGGCAGGTGCCTGGGACCCAGGGCCTGGAGGATCTCCCTGTCCATTAGGAGGTTCACCCAGGTCGCCTGCTCTCTGGGGCCTCAGCAGGGGCACTGGTGACAGCAAGAAGCTTCGGGAGCATTTCTGGGCCTTCCCCTGGAGATTCCAATTCCCCAAGTCTAGGCAGGGGGTGGCAAGAAGAGCTGCATTTCTGTTAGTTCTACAACTGTTTCTGACACAGAATCGGTATATGAAAAACCGAACGGGGTGTTTATAAGGTCCCTTCTGGCTTCCAAATAATCTACAAGTTCAGCCAGGCGTGGTGGCTCACACCTGTAATCCCAGCACTTTGGGAGGCCGAGGCAGGCGGATCCCGAGGTCAGGAGATGAAGACGGTCTTGACTAACATGGTGAAAGCCTGTCTCTACTACAATACAAAAAATTAGCCGGGCGTGGTGGCATGCACCGGTCGTCCCAGCTAATCAGGAAGCTGAGGCAGGGGAATCACTCGAACCTGGGAGGCGGAGTTTGCAGTGAGCCAAGACCATGCCGCTGCACTCCAGACTGGGCAACAGAGCAAGACTCTCTCAAAATAAATAAACAAACAATCTACACGTTCCAGTTAAAGCAGACTATCTAACCTGATTTAAAAAATACATTTTTATCTTTGCTAGTTTGGAGCTGAAGTTGGTGTCTCCCTCGGGCTACCAGTGGCATAAGTCGTAGATACGCCCATGCTCACCGACTTAACGCCGGCCATTCATTACCCCCACTGCTGACCTTGCCCTTTGATGTGTTAGGAAAGCAGCACATGTATTCTTGATCACAGATGCGGTGCCCTGAACATTTTAGACGTCGCATCATCGCTTTCTTTCATAGTCCTTGTGTCTTTTCTTCTATGCATTTATAGCATTATTGGAGGAGTCCACAAACTGCATTTGGTTGCCAAGGGGCCCACGGCAGAGAAAAGGTTAAGAACTGT